CATACGTGTACTTATTATTCAATTATTATTATTTAAAGTTAATAATGAAGAAGTTATAAAGATCATAAATCTTAATATTAAATCCATACCTTCGTCAAAAATTTATATCGGTGATAATATTTATAAAGTCAATAGTGCGATTCTTCATCATGGTAAAAATATAGACGAAGGACATTACACAAATTTATTGCGAGCTAAAGGTACAAAATGGACATCCATAAATGATTTAAAAGTTGATAAGTGTATGTAAGTGGCCACGAAATGCAAAGAGCGCGTATATATTTTTCTTAGAACAAATCTAAATTAAATACAAATAAACTTAAGTATAATTAAGTGTCAATAAATACAATACAAGTACATCTTTAATATTAAATAAATAGAAATTTACAAAATAACTATTTTTTCAGAATCTGTATTTATTTTTAGAGGATTTAAATTTCCTACATTATTATCACGTTTTCATAATTAACAAAAAGCAGTGAAATCCCAAAAAAAACCTTTTTTTAAAAAAAGAAAAAAACATACGCCAAGTGCATATAAAAGATACTGAACTTCTTGATCAAAAACAGATATGAGATAAATATAATTGACCAAGTGTATTCTTCATTACGCCAGTCACATAAGACAGACCGAAAGTGACTATAATTGTCAACTGGATTATAGTGAAGAAAAAACTTGGCGTGCCCGGGTCGCATTAAAACGCAATATTCTAGAACCTTGGTTCTATCGCAATATTCTGCAGTATACACAATATATGCGAAAACAATTCAACAAAGAAAAGATGTTAATAATTGCTTACTGAACATATTATAATACTTAGTTGTGAATATATTTTCATGTCCCACAAATTATATCACTATATAGTGAATGATGATACTAATTATATCACTATATTATACGTGTATATTATACGTATATATTATACGTATATATCTGTATACATATGTCTGTTATTTTTATATTTTAATTTATAATGCAAATACTATGTTGAAATAATGTTTTCACTGAATACTGTTTACAATTAATGCGACCCGGGCACGCCAAGTTTTTTCTTCACTATAATCCAGTTGACAATTATAGTCACTTTCGGTCTGTCTTATGTGACTGGCGTAATGAAGAATACACTTGGTCAATTATATTTATCTCATATCTGTTTTTGATCAAGAAGTTCAGTATCTTTTATATGCACTTGGCGTATGTTTTTTTCTTTTTTTAAAAAAAGGTTTTTTTTATGGGATTAATACTTTACTGTGATTTTATTAAAGTTCCTTGAATCTTATAAAAATCTTATTCAGCTTTAATATTTTTCTAAATATTACTCTATATTTATGTTTAAAAATATAAGTATATACTTACATATAAAACTAATAAAAGTATATTAGATAAAACATTCTTATTTTAGATATAGTAATATCTTTACATTTAGCTCTTCCATTTCGTATCACATAACCCTTGTAGAAAAGTACTACTGAGCACTAGGAGTATTTTGAGGCACTACTGTACTACAGCACTACTGTACTACTACTCCAGCGCAGTAGTGCTATAGTAGTATAGTAGTGCTGAGTAGTGCTGTACTACTACAGCACTACTGCGCTGGTGTAGTAGTACAGTAGTGCTGTAGTACAGTAGTGCCTCAAAATACTCCTAGTACTCAGTAGTACTTTTCTACAAGGGAATATAATATAATTTTATTTTTCATGTTATGTATAATTACATAGCACAACATGTATGCTTACATATTTGTTAGAACGTTTATATGTAACATATGTATAACATGTGATATTAATATGTGATTTTTAATACATACTTGTTATGTGTAAGTATATAGCTAACAAATTTTTATAATGTTAAATACTAATTGTAAGAAATACATATTTATGGAAAAAAATTGATAAAAATATTTAAGTTTAAATAAAATATATTTTGTGTTTCAAACTTTGAAGAAGATTTAAATACTATAAGTAATTATTTTTGTAATTTTGCGTTTATAAATAAAATTATATTTTAGTTTATTTAATGTTTTAAATAGGAAGGACATTCATAATTTCTATCCTTTTCAATAAAGCTTCGTTATGTTCTTGTTCTTCGTTGACGTTTGCCGGAAATTCATTTTCTTCTTTTGCATCTTCTAATTCTACCTCATTTATAAATTCTTCAGGTAAATCTCCTTTTAAAATACAAACGTTATGCATAATACATGCAGAAACGATTAATAAGCAAATTAGGTCAAGTCTAACGGTTTCAAGGTATTTTATGCGTCTGAATCGTCCTTTAAGATAAGCAAATGTATTCTCTATGTTTACACGACATTGTGATAATTTCTCATTAAAATTTTTCTCTCTGTTAGTTAATCTACCAACATTTTTAAAGCCAACTAATAGAAATGGAAATAACTTATAAGCCAAATCTCCTACTAGATGGCTATCTTCGGGAAAATCAATTAATGAGTTATTTATTCTTTCATATAAATCAGATTTTCTGAATAATCTCATGTCATGAATAGATCCTGGCTCTCCTGTATAAACATCTAGGAATAATTTGTTACTATCGCATACACCTTGTAAAAGAACAGAATGATAATTTTTTCTATTACAATAAGAATTTGGATTACTTTTTGGTTTTAATATACGGATGTGAGATCCATCTATGGCTCCGATAATTCCTAAAAAAGATTTAAACGATTTAAACACAAAAAAAAACGAAAGTCATATTTGATTAAAGTTGATCTTGGTATTTAACGTGTGTTTAATAATATTTTGCATAAATATTACAAAACAAAAAATTTATAATAATAAAAAATTACATTTACGTACTAGGAAAGCCATTAATTTCTTCGAATTTTCTCATTATCTTTTGAGCGCGTTCTCTATTTGGCCATGATATAATTTTATATCTAATATTAACTTGCAGTATGCTTTGACAGGTTCTATATAATACATCCCAGCAAGTACTTTTGCTAATACCAAAACGATCGGCTACTGATCTAAAGATATCAAAGTGGATAAGCTTTAAGTTAATTATAGATATTTAAGTCTTTATTCGCTATAACACATGGGCTGAAAAGTCCCGGGCCTAACACATATATGGCGCTAGTTTTATTGCATTTACCTCTTTTTCAGTTAGTACTAACCTTCAAAAGATAGCTGTTAAAATTTCATGATATTCTATTCACTAGTTTGTGAGTTATTGTGCTAAGAGTGACGCTACTTTTGTTATTTTCAAAACAATGGATCAAAAAAAAAAAAACAGTATTTGTAATACAAATATATTTCGTATTTTGTATTTCAACATAGCACATAAAAATATTTTGTATCTTGTATTTCAGTATTTTAGAGCGAAAGATTGAAAGTATTTTGTATTTCAAATAATAAGATTGACAATCAAATCTTATTATTTAAATTATAAAATACAAAATACTTTCAATTTAAAATACAAAATAGTTTTATGTGTTTTGCTGAAAAACAAAATACGATTGTTAAATACAAATACTATGTTTAAAATAAAAGTATTTTAAATATATGCGCACACATACATATATGTATAATACATACCGGAAAGATTCAATATTTGCCAAACACCAAATAGTAATCATTAGTTGTTTTTCTAATAAAAGTGGTTTCTGTCCAACATTATTATAATTCTCCTTAATGCTATGAATTTTTGTAAGCAGATCTTCGAAAGTATCGGGTGTTACTCGGAAGTGCATTTGAAATGTTTTATTTGAGAATCGTGGAAAAATTTCTTCTGCATATTCGTAAACTTTTGGAATATTTAAGTTTTTACCTTCGTCCTCACTGTCGTCAAAAAACATTTCTCGAGCAAAAATAATTATAGGAACCATTTCTTCATTCATTATTTATTTTTTGCGATCTTCCAATCTATAAGTGATAAAAGATCTCATTCGAATGCTGCAAAAAGTATGGTAAATGTTAAGAAGACCCCGGCCACCTCAAATTTTGATAAAAATATGCTCAATCCAAGCGTTTTTGCGTAAAATAAAGATTTGACAAGAAAAAAGCGTTTGTCCTATGAACCGAGATATTAATCGTTAAAAGTAATGATTAATATCTCAATTTCCAGGGCAGAGCGACACTTTTTTCTTGTCAAATCTTTATTTTTACGCGTAAACGCATCAATTGAGTGTATTTTTATCAAAATTTGAGCCGGTCTGGATCTTTTTAATATTTACCATAACCTTAAGTGACAGCTCTGTTACCTCTGTATCGTTCGAGATTAATTTTCGGCACTCGGTTTGCTCGAAGATCACGTGATCAAGCTCACCATCTGCTAGCTCGCATCTCAGATTTACATTGCCGAACGCACCTAATGTATTCCTGGAAACTAATGACAGCTTCCAGGACAGTCATGAAAAAATTTGATATCTCAGTACAACCATACATTATACTAAATAGGTCCCGCAGCATAGAAATCAATAAAATTACGCTTAGACGGCACGTTTTTTCTTGAAATTACAGAATATGATAGAAAAAGCGTCGCTCTGCACCGCGAACTGAGATATTAAGAGACAAAATTTGTGTTTATTGATGTTAGGAAATCTGTCATGTAGACAGTGGGATGTATAGACAGTAGGCTGTTTGGTTCGATACGACTACGCAGTCCTGAACAAAAAAAAATATCCGCTTGCAGTCTAAGGCGAGAAACACACACTTTTGCATAACGCATAAACCATATACATAAAGAATTTGATTGGTCCATTGACTCATGCATAAGAAAATGGGCCAATAAAATTCTTTATGTATATGGTTTATACGTTATGCAAAAGTGTGTGTTTCTCGCCTAATCACCTAGAAGTTCCAGCCTAGAAAGTGTTGGCTTGGAATATTTCTTATCCGTAAAGACAGTGGAGTGTGAGAAATATCTTTTTAGAGCGGGCACTGTCTAGGCTGCATCTAGGCTGCAACTTCCAGCCTCCAGGCAGTTAAGCTTCAAGCGGATATGATATATTATCCTTTTTTGATCGAGGCTACATAGCCATTCCGAACCAAAGAGCAGTACTGTATAGATATCTATACGACCGATTTCCTAACATTAATAATTGCGAAATTTAGCGACTAATATCTCGATTCGCATGGCAGAGCGACGCTGTTATCTGCCAGATACTTTCGTTGCATGCATTAACGTGACGTATAAAGATAATTTTAATGATTTCTAAGCTGCAGGACCTATTCTGTATAATGTACAGATGTCGTGGAACATCAAATTTTTCCAAGACTGTCTTGGAAGCTATCATTGGGCAAGTTCAAGACAGCAAAGCGGCTTAGGTACGCTTGCCGAGCGATCGAATATGATTGGTTAGATCTATAAGTAATAACCAATTATGTTCAATCGCTCGGCAAACGTACCTAGTCGATTTGCCGTCTTGAACTCGCCCATTGTTCCGAAAACAGCCATTTGTGTCTTGGAAAACGATATATCTCAATAACGAAAAGAGATATTTGATTTTAAATGTAAATAAAATTAGGCTTATTCAACGTGTTTTTTTTTTTCAGAAACGAACGAAAATGGCAGAACATGGCGTTGCTCTGCACCGTGAATCGAGATGTTAAGCATTAAAGCACGCTAGAGTCCTAGATATCAGAAAAGTGCAACCGATGTTCCGCGTCCTGATTGGCGTGTGACTGTCAGCCAATCATGACATTTATTCATTGGTATTAAAAATGGTTGACTAATAGACGATTGGTGGATTTCATAGTTCGTCTGCAAACGACGCCATTTTTAATACTTTTATTAGTAGTTTTGCGATACTGACTTAAGCCGGTTGCGCTTCTCTGAGGGTGCGTCCCGATGGAGAAAGAAATAGCAGAACGGAATGAGAACGGAACATTGATAGAAAAGAGATAGGATTGTTCTATCTCTTTTCTATCAATGTTCCGTTACTGTTCCGTTCCGTTATTTCTGACTCCATGTGACTGCACCCTGATATCTAGGACTCTAGAGTAGATATACCCATGGTGTAAGAAACAAGGTGTGCTTATGCGCAGGCATTTCTATTGACCAATAAGAAAGCGTGACAAGTTTCCGCCATCTTATAAAATTATAGCGGGTATTTGAAGCATGTTGAGCAAGTTCTTAAAGAATGTATATAAATATTTATTATAAATGTATTTTGATAATACAAACATAAATGTAAACGGACAAAAGTAACAGACAATAAATATATACATAAAAAAATATAAATATATATTAAAATTATTTAGTAGTAGCTCTACGGTTTGTAAATATAGACATTTTTTTAGTTATGCTTTCTTTTGTGATTTTCGGCCGAAATTTGTTTGTTAATTATTCGCACTCTGATGTAAGTTCGCGTACGAATTAAACATAATAATACTTCTCGTGGTATTGTCGTATTTATTATTTTTTCTTTTACTTTATCTGTAATTATTTTAAAAATCCCTGGACTCTTCTGAATAAAGTTCCCATGATAATTTTGAAATTCTTTGTTCATTATTTTTGCTACTTCCAATAATTCAGAAGAAGAACTTATTAATCTTCCTTTTGAAATGTAGTTAATCCAGTCGTTTTGTGGATTAACTACCATTTCAGTCGGAGTGCCTAAATGATTGTACTTGTTTGCAAATCTAGACGCCGCGTAACCGGCAATATATTTAAGGCCCTCTTCTTGAATAATGTCAATAGCATTTCCTAATTCTTCAACTTGATTTAGTAATGCCAATTCTTGTAATGTAGGAGAATAAGTAAATGAATTAATATCTGTAACAAATAGTAGTGTTGCATGCATAAATATAAAATCGTAAGAACCTCTCTCGACAGTAATTTAATCATTTATTTTTACAATTAATAAATCTAAAATATAAAGTGCAAATACAAAATAGATTACATTACAATACTTAATATATTATTATAAAACAATTAATAACGCTTATAATTAATAATTATAGTTGTTATAAAATAAGGTTAATTATGAATATAAAACGTTCTCATGAATATCTACAATGTAATTACACTATCGCTAAAATTAAATGTATAAACATTATAAACATGGAAATGGCATTGTAAGAGTCAAACGAAAAGTAAATTAACAAACAAATTAATACATATATTCTAAAATGAACTTATAAAATTTACATACATGTAACGATTAAAAAACAGATGTTAATTACTGTTACGTCCGGGTTTTCGTGAGTTTGTTATTCGCGAAGTTCCGAACGCGGCGTGTGGGATCGTAGTGTGCATTGGGAGCACGGATGGTCTCGAGATTTGAGATCGGGCTCGAGCTTTTCCCGGAATTCGAAATATAGACTATATGTATAGAGTAATGAATTCAGCGACGGAGTCGATCGGGAGATGAAGAGCGACCGTGGGCCGAGCGGAAACGCACGTCGTCTCTCATTCCGATGATAAGAGAAATTCGTAACGCGTATGTTTTAATCATAGCGCGAGAACTAAAGTAAGAATACGCGACTTCTAATCGCGGCGACCAGCGAGTAGCGAGAAAAAAAAAGGGGGCACGGAATCGAGCTACTGAATGTGGCAGCGCTCAAACTCCGCTTGCTTTCAAATCGTTGAGGGGAATTGCTACTCACTGGGGGAGAACTATATTGAAGATAATGTAATTAAAAGTAAGAAAGTAGAACGAAGCGATTCTTACGTCGCGAGGAATGTTAATAGCGCGAGAATTAAAGTAAGAATACGCGGCTTCTAATCGCGGCGACCAGCGAGTAGCGAATAAAAAAAAAGGGGGCACGGAATCGAGCTACTGAATGTGGCAGCGCTCAAACTCCGCTTGCTTTCAAATCGTTGAGGGGAATGGCTACTCACTGGGGGAGAACTATAGTGAAGTTAGTGTAATTGAAGGTAAAAAAAAA